TCACCAGTGAACGGTCAAAAGAATGCACCACGAAGATAAGTAACCCTATGGGTAAAAGTCTTTTCAGTCGGAGATCGATTCCAAAATGATAGTATCAATGCTGATAATGATGATAATGATGGCAATAATAAAAATAGTAATTACTATTATTATTTTAACAATAATAATAAAGTTGATATTGAATTGAGTTTTTATTCAATAATTCATTAGTCGATTCATTCAATTGCTAGTTCATTATGTGATAAAGATGACCAGCAGCGATAGATTTATAATTATTGTTAGATTTTAATTGATTGTATGAAGTTTATTTGTTGATAAATTCAATTCGTTCAGCTTCATTGGCAATTCATTTAATATGAAATAACGCTCATTTCGAGTCGAGTTCAGTGCTTCTGTTGCTTATTTCGCAGGCTGTCGAGCAAAAGAGAACGAGTAAAATGCATCAAATGCCCTGGAAAACACGCCTGAGATATAGCCCACTTTAAGCGTCCTTTTAAATGCATTTAAGTATGTTATTTCAAAATTGTGAAGTTCTAAAGATACTGAATCCGATATATATCACATTTAGAATCATGAAATATTGAAAGGTTACTGTGACGTGCTGAACTTACGAGCTACATGGAACAGCTTATTGGTTATATGAAAGAAAGTATGCGCAGAGCCTACGAAGCCATGAAATAGCTCCTAAATGAGGTCCTCCTATGTAGGCACACATTCAGATTTTCGATAGCCGACGTTCTTAAGTTTCACAGAAATGGATGACGGTTTGAACGTGCAGTTGAGATGTATGCTTCTTTGAAATTAACACTAAACATTTCGTGGTGAACAGAATGGTACAGTTCTTGTAGCTTAAGACCTTCTTTAGCTGTATAACGAAGATAATGAAGAACTTGTACGGTCGTTATAAATTCCTACAGTTAACTGCTGAGTGGTCGTCACACGGATCAAAATTTCTAACAGAACCACAAATGCGCATCTATATGAACTAACGTTATAGTCAGATATGAATGCAAATTTACATGTTTTAAGCATTTATATGTAACTTTTGAACCGGTATATAATTTTAATTACATTACTTTTTTGAATAATATTCACAAGAACAACATCGATAACGAAAACAACTGCTATTACGACATAAAATACAGTAAACGATGCATATATCTCTCTAATATAATTCCTTGCTAACGGTTGTTGATTGAGGAACCGATGGTGCCTTCTCAATCTCTGATCCAATATCGTAAACCTGGAATCACATGGCTATTCATTACCCTTAATTGTCTTTCACAATGCTAATGAAACAGTTACTGCCTAAAGGTCAGGTATTATGTTGAGAATAGTGTTTCGAATGAAGTGTCATTCCGTTCAGATGAAATTTGTTTACAACAAATGCTTGACTGCAAACGGTACGCATGAAAGAAATATGCATTGAACGAATTGAGTATATCTAAGATATGAATTCATTGTTGCATTGAGTAATTAATCTCTACAGCTGGTGCTTAATTGAAGAGCAGCATTAAGCAGTGACATATTGACTATGCAACATACTTCATTACGATAGGTTGTGAACGTGAAATGTTTGTCTGGTGGATTGTCATCAACTTCGTCGTTCTCGTCAATTACATCCTTAAACCATTCATTCGCTTTACATGTGCTCTGTTCGATGTATTCTTGTTTGTAATGTACGTTATTTACACTTCTATTGCAAGTAAATAATTATACAGATATGAGAAGAATACAACGCTCAATGAATGAGCAAACTGGTGAGATGGTTGAAAAGATGACGAAAAGAATACCAAATGAAATTCCTCAGCAGTTCCCTCGACGTCAATAATTCCTTTGTGTTCGAACTGAGATGGTGACATGTAAATCTTCTCTGCTTTTTCCTCTTAAATTTACGCATTAAAGTGATAGCCGAATGCATATGAAGTAATTTGATTAAGTACGAAACGGAGCAGTCATAATAAGTGTGATGAAATTTGAGAATTCACCTTGTTGATATAACTCATCAATAACTAAAGCAATGACCAATCCTATCACTGTGGCAGTTCCTAATGTTGATAACAGCAGTGGTGTAACACAATCCTGACAATCGCCACGCATTGCACACGACCTTTGTGCCATTTTGAACTGTGACATGGTATCATAGAATGCATATTCTTCAAGCTCACGTCGTATGTCACTGAAATATCATTTTTTTGCACTTTAACGCTTAGGCTTTAAGCAGTACTCCTGTACTGACCAATAGTGTCACTCACTCCCAAAGCCAATAATATAAACTTCGTGAACGGTGCTCTTACTCTTGCGACATTTTGTGTCACTTTTGCGTCCGAT